TCTCAGTCACAGGGTGCCTACACTCGTCATGGAACATTACAGCCAAAGGACATTGATGGAAATCTGTCCAGTCCTCTGATTTCACCAAGAACTGGAACTCCAAAGAAATTAAGCATTTTGTTCAAATAACAAATTGGTATCAGAGCCTGGCCTGGAAGCCAGATTTCTCACCCCCAGTCCAGTGTCCCCCCGGGAGGCCAGGGTAGGTCAGCAAAATGTGGGTGGGGTGTGAAGAGGTGGAAAGGTATGGGGCCTGAGATGAGGAGAAGAATACCATCTCCGAGGGCCCGGGCAGGCTAGGAGAACAGGTGTGTCTAGGTGGGTCCTGCCTGTTGAGGTTGAGTTCCTCTATCCTGTCCACACCGCCAGGACTCCCTGCTGTTCTTCAGCCTGCAGACAGTTATTTGGGGCTTCGGGCTTTGGCACACACCAAACTCTGGAAGAAGGTGCTTAGTATCTGCACAGTAGCACCAGGTGTGTTGTGGATCCAGAGGGATGAACAGTTCCAGGGAGCTGGGGTCAGATTTCTGAGGGACTTCCGTGAACTGGAGATGGAAGGGCAGCAGGGCCACAGAGAAGGACGCTGCAGGATTGCTCACCGGGAAGAATGAAGCCAGCGCTCCAGCCAAGAGAGGTGCTTGGGTGCATGTTTGCGAATAGGAAAGCAAAGCGGTTTCTGAGTCCAAGACTGCCACCTGTTTGTTGTTGATGAGCGGGGAGGGGAATGCCGTGTGTGTGTGTGTGTGTGTGTGTGTCCGTGTGTCCGTGTGTGTGTGTGCGCGCGCGCGCCCATGTGTGTACATGTGTTGGGCCAATTGCTGTTTTCTAAACATGTGAAAAACTTCATTGCATCTCCAAGAGTCCAAAACGCACTTAGCATAAGATAATACCCTCTTTATTCTTAACCCCGGGTGAGGTCCTGGTGAGAACGTGTGTCTACTTTTAGGCCTGAATAAGGGCAGACTGTGAGGACCAGGGATCAGGGCAGCACTGTCCAGTGGGAACATAATGTAATTTTAAATTTCCTGCTAGTAAAATGGAGCAGGTGACATTATTTTAATAATTTATTTTATTTAGCCCAATATATCAAAGTAAATTCATTTTAACATAGAAACAATAGAAGAATCACTGAGATATTTTACATTCTTTATTTTGTACTTTATTTTTGAAATCCATTGTATATTTTATGCTGGCCAAGTCACACGTGCTTGCAGGTGATGATATTGGATGGCATAGGTTTGGAGGAAGAGTCTAAGGAAAGCATTTCCAAGGGGGAGAAATTGAGCCCGGCTGGTGGGCTCATGGTTCAGTGTTGATCCATGCACCAGGAGGCCACTTGTTCAATTCCTGGTCAGGGCAAATGCCTGGGTTGCGGGCTCGCTCCCCAGTGTGGCGTGTACAGGAGGCAGGGGATCAATGTTTCTCTCTCTCCCTTCCTCTCTCTCTAAAAATCAATAGAAATATATTTTTTTAAAGGGGGAAGAAATTGAATTTTAATTAATAGGGTAAATGTTTATCTTGCCTTCTCTCTCACTAATAAGATAAATGTTTATCTTGCCTTCTTCCTGCATTTTCCCACAAACGTTAAATAAGGAACCAAATTGTCCCTACCTCTGGGAGATGAGTTAAGTGTGTCCAGATGTTAAGTGTGTTTGGATGTGAAGGTTGTGATGATGATTGCCTTCTGGTTTGGATAGGACCTGAGACCAAGGAAGGCGGGGCATCAGTGTCCCTTTCAGTACTGGGGACACTGGAGCTAATGATAGGATGACGCCTATTCGTGCGCGTCGTACCTTTCACATGATGAACAGGTAATGAGAAGGTATACGCTGGTCTTCTGAAGAGGCTGAGCTGGGTGTGCGCTGGAGCTACCAGCAGCCCGTCATGACTCGAGGGGTTGGCGTACAGGGATCAGACACGGAGGCTCAGCTCTCAGGGGCTTAGCCATCTTGTCAAGTTCTCAGACTTCCCTGAGCCTTAACATTTCATTTTCTGCCCGCCCCTTGTCACCACGTTAGTACACGAGTCAGATGAAGACTCAGACTTATATGTGCTTTGAAAGCAGCTTTTAAAAAATGCTTTAAAAAGAAAGGGTTTCGTAGAATATCAATCCTTCTTTCTGTATCTGATTCACCAAATCTCTTATGTGCCAACTATTTGTGGATGATCGATTCCAGTCACTGCTTTGGGATTAGGTTGATTGAAAGATGCTAAGGACTTCCGTAAGCTGTGCCGACTACTCTGAGAGACTGTCCGCATTCTCTCTGGTCTGCATTTGACCTGAGGTCATCGGGCCCCAGCTGGAATTTGGAAATATTTTTATTTGTATGAGAACTTTATTTTTATGAGGTGCGACCATGTCAGTCTGACACAGAGACTCTCAGTGTCAGACAGTTGAGAGCCTCTGCAGCCTCTGCACCAGCCGTCTCAGCACACACCCTGAGGTGGCACTCGGGAGCCTGCCTTTGAACAGGATCCCAGGAGAGACCAGCGTCCATGAAGGCCTGAGAAGCACTACCCCATGTCCCAGCTAGTGATGTCAGCGCAGCCTCAGCTCGGACAGCTGCTGGGGCAGGCCACACACTCTCTCATCAGGCAGCCCCTGCTGTTGCTGGGCAGACAGCTCTTACTTTTAGAAAGTTTCCCCTTCGCTCCCCTTGTCTGGAGGTATGCCCCACTCGGGGTGCCCAGAATAAGTTTCATTTTTCTGCTGTGTGAAAGCCTGCAGAGTAGGCTACTGCTTCCCTTTCTTACACAGAAGCTTGGACCCAGAGGCTGGTAGGTGATGAGGGGGCTATGCAGGGTCAGCGCCTGTCACCTGCCAGAGCCTGCAGGCCCTGAGACGTTGTAGGAGGAGCTTGAAAAGGCCTCTTCCAGTCCTGCGTCTGCCTTCACTCCTGCCAAGTCCAGGGGGCTGACTAGGTGATTGCAGTTTGGAGGGGGTTTGGAGAACTTGAAGGGGTTTCCCAAAAGAACAGGAGGGTAGAAGTGGTGCCTGGAATGGATGTGGGTCCTGCAGGGCTTGCCTGGAAGGGCAGGGTCATGTACAGCGGCACCAAGCAGGAGAGAGTGGGGTGGTGGCCTGGGAAGAACAACCCAGCAGCTTTCCCTGTCCCTAGCTGAGCGTCAGCTTTCTGGGTTCTAAAAGAAAAGGGGATGGATAACCTTTTATCAGACATCTGCCCTGCCTGTCTCCAGGGTCTCTGCGGGACTCTGTGAAGTACGGTCAGTGAGCACACTTGGGAATGTGGGACATGGTCCGGGGATGACAGGGAAGGTCCTTGGGGACAGTCGATGACACCAGGAACCAAGTGCTCCACGAGCTCACAGTGTGGCCTCAGGAGGCCTCACCCTCTCGGGGCCTCTCTGGAACGAGGGAGCCATGCACAGGTGTCCCTGGAGGTGCTGAGGCTCAGGGCTATGATGGTGGGCTGCCTGGAGGAAGTCTCCAAGGATGGCTCTTCAAATATTTATTTAGGGAGACTCCCCAGAGCTTGAGATTGAATCCTTTGTGAGGGGAATGATTTCATACACCCTGCGGTGCAGGCCTGGCCTCTGCTGTGGGAGACCTACTTCAAGGAGGGGTGCTCGGCCATGACCGCCCCTGGGGTACCTGAGCTGATGAGTGATGGTTTCAGCTCCGCGCTGTGAGACGTCTCACTCCTCAAACACCGAGCTGGAGGTGTCATGTGCAGATCTTTCCAGAACAGTCTTCTTCCAATACTAAACATTACCAAGGAGCTTTTCAGAAGCGTTACTCGGTTTTTGTGAGTCCTGAAGCGTGGTGTGCCTGGTAGTTTTGTGAGCCTGCTTTGCCAGCAGTTGCCCAGGTAACTGAAACTGGCTTTGGTCCAGCAGCCCATCCATAGATGCTGGGCAGCTGAGAGCAAGGGGACCAAGTGTGTGGTAACGGAGGGACGTAACTGTTCTTTAGACAGCCCGTCCGTGTCTGTCTGCCACTCTGGGACCCTGTGTTGTCCTTCTCACCTCCCTGCAGCCATGTCTCAGCCTCCCATCTCATTGCCTGGATGCTTGCTTCTAACTCTGTACATTGCATTTTCTCCTGTGCACCCACCGTGTTGTCATGGAGACTCGGTGGCCCTAGGCTACGAGTGTCCAGTGTCATCGAGTGTGATGGTGTGGTACGTGTATTTGCTCACGCTTTTATTTTGAATTCTTTCCAATGTGACATCTGCTAAAATGTCTCCCTTATAATTTGCTTGGTGATCACAGCCTTCTCATCATTCATTGAGCGCAGGACCTGATCTCACAGAATCTGAAAAGAGCTATGTGGTAAGACGCCTGTTGACTAAGATTGTAGCTTTTCTAAAAAGAGTCCTTACTGGCCTCCAGAGTACAGCCGGGAGCACTGCCTGGTTAACTCTCAGCCACGTGTAATAAGGATTATGTGGCTCCTGTCGTAGAGAGACGTTAGGCTGCCCCTTCCCTCTCAAAAAGCAGAGGAATTAGAGATGCCATTTCTCCTCTGCCTCCATGTGGGATTAAATCAATGTCTTAGTGCATGATCGGGGATACATACTTGCATTTCTATCCTGAAGTTATTCTGTTTGTAACAGTTACTCACTAATTGCAGGCTTTTATGCTGCTACCTTTTTTTTTTTAATATTCATACTAAATTCCGAATTCTGTATCTTACCTGTTTTTCCATGCTTACGCCTGGATCCCTCCTGCACTCCACTACTGGAATATCTATTTTTTTAACCTGGATCTTCAACTCTGTTGTTTTCCTGGACTTATGTGCTTCGTCTGGAATGTTCCATCTCTTCCTCTCTTTCTTTTTTTTTTTTTTTTGTCCCCATGTTGACTGTTTTATGGGGGTTTCTGGATATCTCGGGGCCACCTCACAGGAAGCAGTTTGCAATGAGATCATAAACATTGCCGAAAAGTCTGTTCATTACTGCAGCACTGTCTCTCATCCCCTTGACTTTCATCACAAGGTACCCCCTTCTGACAATAAATCATCTTTAATCATTTCTCAGCAACCTCAAGCCCAGCAGCGAAGAGTCACCCCAGACAGGAGCCAAGCCTCACAAGATTTGTAAGTACCCGACAAATGTCAGTTCTCTCATTTTAGCAGACTGTTGGGCTCAGGAAGTGTTCATTGACTGGCTGTGGGGCAGCCCGGCGGGGGGATGAGTGAATCACTCCCAGCTTCTCTGAGAATTCCGTGTTTCCCAACAACCAGTGTGAGAACAGGTGGCAGGTCAGTAAGGTCATGACCTACTGGGAGAGAGACAGGTAAAGAATGAACTGCTCTCCAAGGGCAAATGAGAGCTGTGCTGACTGGCTTCCCTCCTAGTGTTGTGGGAATAGAGGAAGGAAATTAATTCTGACGAGAGCTGAGTGAATAAGGTTGATCCATTCGTTAAGAACAATATATTGGCTCTGTCTCCTCTTTTAAGCACAGAGGAGTAAACTCCATTCCCAGAGGGAGGGGTTTTGGAATAAGCACTGAAAGACAAACTGGACTTGAGGGTTAGAGCAGGGTCTTCCCAGCTAAGGAAACCACATGGGCACGGGGGGGCTTGGACAACCTCAGAGGTGCCCACGTGGCCGCAGGGTACAGTTCACGGAGGAAACAAAGCTCAAAAAGTAGGTTCGGACCCGTTGTAGAATCCATGATGCGACTGAAATAAGTTTGGGTTTCATTCTGCAGGCTCTCAGGAGCCACCAGAGGGTTTGAAGTGAGGAGCATATTGATTCTGTTTTGTTTTCGGGAGGTAACTCTGGTAACGGAGTAGAAGGTGGGTTTCAGAGGCGAGGGACAAAGATGCTGGCCAGGAGATGTTAATCCAGGCAAGGAGTGATGAGGGCCTGAGCCAGGACAGAGTGGGTGCACTGTGACCACGGGCACATACAAGGTCACCCAAGGAGACTCCGGGTAGAGCGAGAAGGGAAACAAGGGTAGGTCCTGGGAGAACAACTTTTAAGGCAACAGAGGAGCCACAGGAGACTCGGGAGAGGGGTTAGGAGCGATCCCTTGTGCAGATTGGAGCAAGCGTGTTCGGCCAGCAGTGCCTCCTGCTCCAGAGCGGCCAAGGCGGGAGGAAATGCGACGTGTCCTCCAGGTGGAGAAAATCATGGGTGACCTCGGAGACAGCAGTTAGAGAAAGGGAGGCAGATGCCTCCTTAGAAAGGGTTGGTAGTCGGTGCCATGGTGGGTGAAAGGGCTGTAGACGGAGGGAGTAGCAGACAGAGAGCGGGTATTTTTAGGGTGCAGAGACCTAAGTACATTTGTACCAGAGGAGAAGGGGTTGACAGAGTCAACATATGTAGGAGAGAACACGGAAGCTAAGGAAATAGAGTTCAACTTGACCCGAGGGACCCTTCCTCCCGTGTGGGAACAGAGCAGGAGGGAGGGGGTCCGGAGACTTAAACCTGAACGGGGCAGCGTGAAGAGCCCTCTGCACAGGGAAGCAGAGGAGGCGGGGGACTCCCACCCAACGTCAGCGCTGCCCGGGCGACCCAAGCAGCAAGGCTACGGGACTTCCTCCAGCCGCGCTCCGCAGTCTGGGAGTGAGAGCAGGAAGCAGAATCAGGAGTTACTTCCCAGAGCTGAGCAAGTGGAGGTGAAGGGGAGCAGGCGTTCTGAGGAGGCCTGGGTAGGGGGAGGCAGCAGGCACATACAGAAACAGCAGAATGTGTTCATTTTCCAACTGCAGTCTGTGGCCGCTCTTAATTCCCCGTTAGAGACCCTCTGGCAGGCAGATCCACCTACAAAAGGCAGACACATTCAGATAAATGGACACAATGAAATTGCCTCTGGTTTTAGCAGAGGAGAATGAGCCTCTTGTTCTAGGCGCTGGCTTCGCGTACCGGGGTCTCGTCTGTCTTGCCCACACACTGGAGATCACAGGCATCTACTGGAAATGGTAGATGTTTGGCTCATGGCTGAGTTTTTCCTGCTACTGTTGTGTTTCAAAATAGTGAGCAAACAGAACTGTGAATTGGTGTGCAGTGGATGCTTCTTAATTATTTGTCAAAGGAATAAGTGAAAACGGAGCTTTTCCTTGTTGCCACAGCAGATGCCAGACTTCGCCGCATGCCAGCTTTCTCCGTGGTTGCTGTTAGAACAAGCAGAGCAGCACACCCCAAATCGCCTTAGGCCAACTGCCACCTAAATAAAAATCTTAACCCCCAGCTCGCTGGGATAGAAAAAAAAGCTTTCAAGAGTTTCAGAAAAATGGCATCCATATTTTAAAACAATGAATGAAATGTCTGTTGGTGGATTAAGAAACTCAAAGTAGTTTTGCTAAATGGTGAGGCAACTGGAATATATTTCATATAAATATGACAATTTTATAATATATGGCAATTGTCTTGGGCCATCCAATGTAAATTGCCAGAATATAATGTCTATCTCTGGACTTCAGTAACCTCTGACTATTCCCAATAACCTATATAAATTATCCCATGTTAAGAAAAAGCCTTGGTTAAATGTAAAAGGGGAGGGGGACATCTAGACAAAAATCCTCGGTTATGATAACCAAATGAAACTAAGTAAAAGGATTGGTCATGACTTGCTCAGAAGTTCTCCATCCCTGCCAGTCTTAATTTATTATCAGACTAGAGGCCCAGTGCTCAGATTCATGCACTGGTGGGGTCCCTCAGCCTGGCCTGCGCCCTCGGGGGATGTCAGACTGCCAGTTTCTGCCCGATCCCCGCAGACCAGGCTGAGGGAGCCCACTAGTGCACAGATCTGTGCACCAGGCCTCTAGTATGCATATAAGATCTTTGGTTAATCTCTTCCTGTCTTCCCCCCCACCCCACCCGATTCCCTCTGAGATTCATCAGTCTTTTCAATGTTTCCATGCCTGTGTATTGAGCTTCTGACCCCTGCTGGTCAGTGCACGTCATAGCTGCCGGTCGCACAGTCAAACGGTCAGACGGTCGCTTAGGCTTTTATACATATAGATTGCTGTTGAATGGATCTCCCCCAATGATAAGTCATTAGAGAAATAGCCAATAAAATACTTTTTCTCTCCACTGGTAAGCAGGAAACACTACCTAAATGTTGATTTAACTGAAATGGCTTTAAAAAGCCCTTATTTAATCCTATCAGTCACTTACTTAATATTCCTTTTTCTCATTGATAGATTTAGCTACCAAGCATTATATAGCTATATACCACAGAACGATGATGAGTTGGAACTCCGAGATGGAGATATTGTTGATGTCATGGAAAAGTGTGACGATGGATGGTTTGTTGGTAAGTGACCTGGTCCCACTTCTTTTACTAGCCGTGTTCTGAGGGAACAACTAGGAGTGATGAACTGTGCAAAAGCCATATTCTCCGTAGGGAAGAGGAGCCTTCTTGGTCCCCGAACCACCATGAGTGCTGGGCACAGTTCATGTTTGCTCTCGAGCCTGTGTGGCTGTGTGTGTTGGACCTAAAACTCAAATCTGCCAGCGTCCAGTGGAGGGAGGGAGGGCACTTGTCAAATTCATTAAGTTCTGTTTGTATTTCTATTGTGCATATATCTGTTCTACATTTGGAAATTTTATTTTTTAAAACTCTTATGAAACAACACAAGAAACTTTGACCGAGCCTAGGTTTCTACCATGAAACTCAAGCGTATGTGTAAACATTTCAAGATCTTATCTACTCCAGCCTTCTAATAATTTTAATCAAAGCAATCTGCTTAATTAAAAAAGGATTCACCTTTATAAAATGGGGGGATAAGTGAAATTCTATTACAAAGCAGATACTTGCTTGATATACTTTCTTATTGATAGTCTTTCAACAAACAGCCCAAAAGTCAAGAATAATCCTCATCACAGATTCAAAAACTGAGGCCCAAAGAAATTAAGTACCTAGCCCAGTGATGGCGAACCCATGACATGCATGTCAGAGGTGACGCGCGAACTCATTTTTTTGGTTGATTTTTCTTTGTTAAATGGCATTTAAATATATTAAATAAATATCAAAAATATAAGTCTTTGTTTTACTATGGTTGCAGATATCAAAAAATTTCTATATGTGACATGGCACCAGAGTTAAGTTAGGGTTTTTCAAAATGCTGACACACCGAGCTCAAAAGGTTCGCCATCACTGACCTAGCCCAAGGCCACCCAGGCAGCAAACAGTCGGGCCAGTGTTTGAACCCCGGCCCACCTGTCCCCAAGCCTCTGTTCCTTCTTCAGGTATGAGTATGATGTTGGGAGTCACCAGCTCACTATTTGCCTCAATCCCCTTGTACAATGGCTTTGCCTTTATCTTCTCTCCGGAGACTTTTTCCTGATCTCTCTGCACAAGCTTTACTAAAGCAAAGTGATGCCAGGGCTGGGGTAGTGAGAACAGCAAGGTCTCAGCATAAACGGGAAGCCAGAAAGACTTGCCGTGGCCTCACCAGCCTTGTAGAAAGCCGCGCATCCTCCCACGGCCCCCAGAAGCCTGCAGGCTCACTACCTTGAGTGCTGTGTTCAGAGGGAAACCAGATCTGAGAAGTCAGCAGTACACTGGTACAGCGATTTTCAGCCAGTGAGCCACAGGAATTTTTAAAACATGCAATTCCTGACTGCTTAGTTAGGGGCACTGACCTCTTTGCCCTTAGATTGTCGAATTTAAAAAAATGGCCGAAACCGGTTTGGCTCAGTGGATAGAGCGTCGGCCTGCGGACTGAAGGGTCCCGGGTTTGATTCCAGTCGGGGGCATGTACCTGGGTTGCGGGCACATCCCCAGGGGAAGATGTGTAGGAGGCAGCTGATCAATGTTTCTCTCTCATCGATGTTTCTAGCTCTCTATTTCTCTCCCTTTCTCTCTGTAAAAAAATGAATAAAATAAACCAAATAAATAAAAGAAAGAAAGAAAAAAAAAAAAAATGAATAAAATATATTTTAAAAAAATTTTTTAAAAAAATGACAACAGCCAGCACAACGATAGCCGCCTGGTGTGAATAACTCAAAATTATACCAATTTTTTTGGCAAACTAGCAAAAAAAAATATGTTTTTGGTGTGCCACAGAATTTTTGTAATGAGTGCGTATGTGCCATGAGATGAAAAAGGTTGAAAATCGCTGTTCCAATGCAAAGAAGTCCAGTAGAAACATAATACAAGCTATGGACAAAATAAGTAAAATGAAGCCAGTGAAATTAATTTTAATATATTTTATTAAACCCAATGCATTCAAAATGTTATCATTTGAACATGTAATCGATATAAAAAATTGTATAAAAAACTGTGAGCTACTTTACATTCTTCATTCTGTACTGAGCCTTCGAAGTCCGGTGCTGTTTCCCGGGGCAGCCAGCCAGTTCGGAGCGGCCGTGCCTCAGTGCTCAGCAGATGCCTATGGCCACCGCTGAGAGCCCAGCTCCCGTGCATACGCGGCTAACCTCTCCCCTCCCAGAGCAGTTACGGTTTTCACCAGAACCGGGGGTGGGGTGAGGGGCACCAGTTCTCTAAGGGAGCGTCCCGGCAGCTTGGTAAAGGAAATATTTCAGATTCCTCAATTCCTCAGACACTTCCAAAAGTAACCCAATATTCAGACTTCGAATAAAGTAACCCAGCCAAGCTCCTCCTCCTCCATAAGGCAAGGCGCTCACCAGCTCTCTGGCGTCCCTGGGCCTTCCCACCTTCTTGACCCTCCCCACAGGGGGTCAGGTAGTCGCTGTGACACATTCTTTTATCTGAGACATTTCACTAACAACGCACTGGTAGTGGCTGCTTGAAGGTTGTATTCGACAGGATTCTGAGCCGCATCCAGGCCAGCTGGGAAAAGGAAGCAGTGCTCAGATTGTGTTGTCTGCTAATGAGAGGGTAATGGTGGCATAGCTTCACACAAACACACACACACACACACACACACACACACACACACACCGCTCTAGAGGGAATCCCAAGGGCAGGAACTGGATAGGGATCTGGAGCAGCCCAGGAAGGCTTTGTACCCAAACCGTGTAATGTTCCTGGCTCAGCGGGAACCCTCCTAAGGTTGGTCACAAAGGCTGGGAGTCGGTGTGGGGCTTAGGCAGGCCTAGGAGAGGAATTTCCTTTCGATGTGTGGTCACATCCATTGGACTTTCAGAAATCCTGCCGTTTAGAAATTGTAAATCCCCAGTGTCTTGTGTTGGAGAGATGTGTCCATTCTTCCAAAAACAGAGAGGCATTGGGAAGAGCAGTGGCTGGGGTTCAGTGTGCCCTGGTGCTGGCTAAGCTGTGAGGCCTGTCACCCGCGCTCTGAAAACAAAGCTCACCTGAACAGAAAGCAGGAGTGTTAAAAACGCCTGCCTCGCTCAGCACCCAGCCCGACCCTGAGCCTGAGTGAGGGAAGGGCAGGCCTCACCGTGTGGAGGCCGCACACTGCGCTGCGGCTGCCCGGTGGCGATCCCGGGCCCTCTGCCCTCCTGCGGGCAGGTCTCCTCATTGTCCGTGTGTTTTCGCAGGCACTTCAAGAAGGACCAGGCAGTTTGGCACTTTCCCAGGCAACTATGTAAAGCCTTTGTATCTGTGAGAAGACTGAAAATCGCAGAGATGATTTTTACCGGAGGATGAAGCATAACCCATGAACTGGTCTCTTGATTTGAAAGTTGAGTCAGTAGGAAAAGTAATACAGTGGATAAAGAACGAAGCAGAAGAGCGGGACAGAGAAGTGTGTTGTGTGTAAAACCCGGGCCTGTCTCAGCTCACCGTGCATCAGACAGGCCCGGACCGTGCGCTGAGCAGAAAGGAATGAGGCAAATCTGTATTTATTTAGCTGCTTCTGGGAGCCTCTCCAGCCCTCCCCTCCGCTCCCCGTCTGAGGTAATCTGACCTGTGGCCACAGAGATGCCTCCTGCTGCTGCCTCCCTGGCCTGCCTGAAGCGGCCCTCAGAGCCCCGGCAGGTCCCCAGCCGTTCTCCAAAGGCTCCACAGACCCCCGCCCCACCCCGGCCACCGAGCCCGCAGACCCCCCAGCACCATCAGCGCCGCTGGAGATCCGTCTGGGCTGCGAGGTCATCCCTAGACGGTGGTGGAGGCCCCTCGCTGGACCTGCTGAGGTTAGTGGGGAAATGGAGGCGAACCTTCGGCGCCCGAGCATGCCTACCCAGCCTGCGGCATCGCCACTGCCCCCTGGGGTCAGAGAGAAAAGCACGGGAGGTTTGCCCGTGGGAGCAGGTGGCCAGGCAGACAGTCAATGTGTGTGTCCCAGTGACTTAGGTCAGGAAGCCCTGTGGCTCCTGAGGTGACATGCCGTGTGCTCCTTTCCCGGATCACTGGCTTCCACAGATGTTCCCTTTCAGGCCACAGTTTCATTGATCAGACGCTGTTGCTAATCTTTCTCTTCTGGATTGTTCTGGGCCAGGACAGTTTGGGGTTGATAGGCCTGTTCTCAGGGAGAAAAGGATGGTGATGTGCAGTGATTCATTTAACAGCCTGATAGACACTGGATGCTGGGCCAGCAGACTTACCGCATCCCCATAGGAGCTCAAGGGCCACTCAGAATGTAGGCCCCCGGGGCTGTGGGTGCTGGTGCACCCTGGCCAGGCTTCACTTCAGAGCAGAGGTGCGGATGCAGCGCCAGTTGTGAGGAAGTGATTCTGCTGCTCCCAGGAGGCCGGAGCTCAGCGGGGAGGCCCCTGCGACACCTGGGTGTTCAGTCACAACTCTGTCCGAGTCCAGGATGTTTGTCAGCCCTCTCTGTTAGACCCCTTGGAGAATGAAAGATAGGAATGTCCCGTTCCCTGCCTGCGGGGACTCAGAGGTGATTGGAGACACACACACACACACACACACACACATAGGAGAGACTGTGAAATGTGCTAAGAAGGGTGTGAGAGAGGAAGAGATGAATTTCCCTGGAGGGATCCTAGAAAGTATTGTATTTCTGTCTCTATTAGCTGACTGTTGAACAACTAGGATGCTGGAAGAACCTTCGCCTGAGGGTACTTTATGACTGAAAACACTTGGCGCTGTTTCCAAGTCTTCAGACTCTCACCCTCTCCATAAATACACATCCGGCCACAAGTAGGAGTAGCAGTTCCGAGTGCCAGAGTGTGTACAGGAGCCCTGGCCCTCTGCCTGTAGCTCAGAAGTGCCCAGTACCATTGTCCGAAGGTCTGAGTCTTTATAAGTAAGCAAAAAGTTTGTCTTCAGTGTCTCTGCCTCCACCTCTGTCTCCACTACTCATCTTAGGATCCCACCGGCTGCCCATCCCCTATCAGACAGCTACAGTGCACTCACTTCTCTCCCTGTCCTCTTTTCCAATCTTGCTGGCTGACTTCTTCACACTAAAGTGTAAATGACTGATACAGGAATGTGTTACCTCTTCCCAGAGACATTTGTTTTTAACTAGGGCAGAGCAGAGCCTTAATCCCCAGGGGAAAGATTATAGAACTAATGGTGGG